GCTGTTCAAGTGGTGCTCCAGATGTTTTGGAATTGCACCTAAGGTACCTATAACTATTGGTACTATCTTTGCTTTCTTTTGTCACAGTTTTTCTATTTCTATTTGCAGGACTTTGTATTTTGTGATTTTCTCCTGTTGTTGTTATTATTCCCACTTTTTCTTTTTTTGGGTCAGCTCAAAGCATGAACATACATAATACTCCTGCCTCCTATTTTACCTGCAACAACAATCATGTGAGGTGGGTTGGGGTGAGAGAGAGTGACTGGCCCACAGTCACCCAGCTGGCTTTTGTGCCTAAGGCAGGCCTAAAACTCTCAGTCTCCTGATTTCTAGGCCAGCACCTTTCCCACTACACCAGACTGGCTCTCATATTGCCATTTTACAGCCAAAACTATAGCTCTTGACTCATTTACTGTAAATCAATATGACTGGTCTAGAATAAATAAATGTGGCCCAAGTATAGCCAAGCAGAACTTTTAAATAAACAATATTTATATTAAAAATACTTTGCACTGTCCATTAGATTCTGAATTGTTTAATATAGAACTCCTTAGCAACTGTTGATAAAAAGCTGAACACAAGTCATTCACAATGCCAGAAAATAATGGGAGGAACAGAAGACATAATGAGAAGCTACTCTTTCAGCAATCAGCGTTAAGTAAAATAGGTCTTGCATAAAACTTTAGAACAAGGTAGCATAGTTTCTATTTCCTTGTCTAATGACAACTGAGGGAAACAAAGAAGGATTTCTTATCTGAAGTCAATGGAATCATAAGTTTTAAGTTCAGTATACCTAGAGAAATCATTTTATACTATCAATTGTTTAGTTATCTTTTATATGAAATCGAAGTTACATTAATAAATAAAAGTCAATGGAATACATGTTGTAGAATGTTATGAAAAAAGATACAGCTATTATATAAAAAATGATTCAGAAGAATGACAGACATCTTCATTATTCCTATTTCCAGTTTGCTGCAAACAAAAACAAAGGGAAAACTAGTGGAATATCTATGGATACATCTTCCCATTGCACTCTACCAATTTTTCATTACCCTGTCCACTCTTCTAGAAGCTGTTAATGGTAAGTTCATACCAGTATGAAAAGGATGCCCTCAACTTAAACTCAAATGCAGGGGGGTTCTTGCAGCATTTTGTAATTAATCTGCAACTGCCTTCTTCTAAGATTTTTTTTTTCAAATTTTCAATGTAGCCAGTAGTTCTGGAGTTTCTAGATAGTCCCACATCCAAATATTAACCAGAACCAATTCTGCTAGGCTTCCAAAATTAACCAAGTTCTGCTAGGTGCTGCCACCTGCTGGGAACAAACCACACTGCAATGCCCATTCTACACAGAGAAAGTGCATCATGTAATTGTAAAACCTCTGCCCCTAGTGGATAACAAAAAGAAGGGAGCATCAATATATCACCAGATTTGAGAACTACTTTTATACATATATCTTAGTGGATAAATCTAAATGAGTAACATAAAATCCACTAAACACAATAAAAACCAATTAAAAAAAGAATCCTCTCAAGAAAATATGCTGATCAGCCCAATTTATATACCATGTCCTTTACTTTTTAGAACATTGGAACTTATTGTAACCCTTGAAATATTTAAGACTAAAATATTTCAAATTACTAGCATTTTTAAAATTCCAAATATTTCCTTTTCTGAAGAAGATGAATGCTTGGGCTTGAAAGGTAACAAGAGTAGCTTTTACAGCTGCTTAATGGATAAAGTTCTTATTGAAATTCCCTATTCCTATTAGACATGAATATCACCATGGTTATCCCATCTCCTTCAGTTTCACAGAAATACTAGTTACATAGTTCACCAAACCATCACCAAAAAGATATACACATACTGATAGTAAAAGCAGTAACACATTAATGAAACTCTAGACAATGTTATTGTAGAACACTGCATATTGAGTTCACACAAAATATCTCAGTCCTGCTGCTAGTTCATAAAAGCAATAACAATTAAGACAAAACAGCTTCATGAATATGAAAGCAATAAAGCACAATCTTTTCAAAGCTATAAGCTGTCTGTGTACTCCATTTATACTATTATGTTCAAAAGAGATCTGTTATGATATTACCTTATAGATTATGATATATTTTGGTACAATATTTTAGCTAGTTGACGATGCCCAAAATCAGGTTACTATAATGTTTTTATTGTGGAATGCATTAGCTTTGATTTTGATATAAGCTTTGATTTTTCCATCTACTTTTAGAATGGAACTGGGAAACAATCCATCCAAAATTACAAGCACATTTTAAAAAATATTTTATCTTTTCCTCGACAGTCTGCAACATCAACTTCCAAGCAAAATTTCAAAAGTTAAAATATGCTTTATAAGAAGTAGTAACTCAGTGCAATTCAAATAATTAAAGATCTAATATTTAGAAATATTTTAATCTAATAAAAGTATCATATGTACAGTACTTCAAACTCTTCAAAAACAAGTGTATAAAGGTAACATAGTAATAATGAGGCTTTTTCAAATATATATTTTATACTATATGTAAATATATACAAAGTATTATTTTATTTTATTACCTTGTTATCAAGTAATTTTTCCCAATTTTTTAAAAAAAGAATTTTAATGTAAAAAAGAAACTTAAAATTATTTAAAAGCATTCAAAACCAATGTCAAATCTTCATATCCAATGTCTGGAAAATTTTCTCAAATAGCATAAAGTACAATCTAGAAGAACTGTAGGAAGTTGAAAGCAATTAAAGTCTGTTATGACATAATTATTACAGCCACAAGTAAGATTTCAGGGGAAAAGGTTTGGATCTTACCTATTTAAAATAAGAAATTAAGAGTTTTAAATATCACAATTTTTGTATAATAAATGTAAGCAAAAAGATATACTAAAATACTTTTGTAACAATATATTTTGTACATTTGGGGAGCAGAGCTGGATAACTCATTCACTGCCATGCAACCACCACCTCTCAAGATATGTTTCAGGTTTTTAAAAGAAACTAGTTTAATTCAAAAATGGCTATGATGTTTCATAGCATTTCCATCCTATAGAAACACAATTATATATACTGAAAGGCAAGTGGACAGTTGTGCCCCTCCTTACTTCTACATGCTTGAGAGAAGAGCTCTACAACCTTGTACCTACTCCACACTGCTTTACATAGCTTCATACAAATCAAGGATATATAAAGTCCTCCCTATCCTCATATTTCATTGCATTTCGCAGGATTCTGGCCCATACCCAACACATCAACCCCCCGCCCCCGAAAAAGCAACTGTCCCTTCATATTTCTACTAATGCGTTATACACATACAGGCATTTATTTTGCACCAACTACCGTAGAACAAATATTACAGCCCCCTTTCATATTACTTAGAGTAAATTCGTCAGATTAGCGTCTTCCATTCCATTCTGAAGTCTGGACCGAAAGAGGGACCGGGAGGGAAGAGGCCACCTATGCTTCTAACCACTCATCCATCAGATGGGGAAGAGATGAGAACAAGTTCACATTGAGCGATCTGAGCATGTGATAAGAAATGAGCCCTGGATTAATGGGTTGATCAGCCTCGAAGCGGGGCTATCCAGCTTTAAAAAGATTGCCATTTATTCGCGGAAGACTCAAGGCTCAAGCAGAGAAGCGGCGAGCAATCCTCCTCCCATAGGACGCGTTTAAGGTACATCTGAGAAGTAGCCCCATAACCGCAGCCTCGCCTTCTTTTTTCATCTTGGGGGGCGGCGGGGAAGAGGAGAAAAATTAGCTAACCGGAAGCGCCCGCATGCCCCAACCTGAGGCCGCAGGACTGAAGGGAAGGAGGGGGGCAGCTACTAACACTGACCCCCTCGCCTTCCCGTCCTCATTAACCCAGCGCAGGAGACGGCTGGCTGGCTGGCTGGCAAGCAGGCAAGGTGGGAGGCGTGCCCCCTCCCCGCGTGGAATGACTGAGTGGGAATATCTCGCCGAGCGGGGAAGCGGTGGCAAGTGGAAGGGGGCGGCGGCGGGAGGGAGAAGGGGGAGCACTGCAGAGAATACAGGACCGCAGCAGGCAGGAAACTCACCGCGCCTTCTGCTTAGGGAATCCCGGCGTCTTTCCCAGTTCTCGGCGTTCACCACCAGCACCGCCACTCTCCCTTTTTCACATCTTCCCACAGCCCCGCACCAGCCCTTCCCCTCTCTAGGTCAGGGGAGCTCGTGCCCACCGGGTCCTTTGGGGCTGGAAGTTCGAACGCGCCCTGCGCGAGAGCCCCCCTCGCGCACGGGCGTCTGCGAGAGACCGAGGGGGGAGGCGCTGAGACGGAGCAGCCGGGGGAGAAGGGAAGGAGAAAGCGCGGACCTTCCTCCGCACAAAGCTTCACAATAGACACGGCGCGAGAGAGCGGCGCGCGCGTGTCTGTGCGAGTGTGCCGAAGGCGGGGCTTCTTCTCCGGCTCCCGCACTCTCTCCCGGAACGGGGGTGGCGCGGCGGCTGAAGGGGAGGGCGGCAAAGGTGTCGTTTGCGCAAGCACCTGGCCGCCAGCCCCCGCCGCGCGGCTCTTCAGGCTCGGGATAAAAGGAGGCGGACACCTGAGCCGCTTTTCTGGCGCCCGTCACGCACGCACACCCCCGCACACACGGTCGGGTGGTACAGGCTAGCTTTATTCTCCTAAGGGGTGAGAGCGAGGGAGGCGGCGGCGGCAGCAGCAGGATTTTATTGCGGCTTTGCTCAAACCGGCTTCTCGCAGCCAATTAGAACAAGAGGAGGAGGAGCTGGTGTTGGATCCAAAGACAGTCGGACGGAGAAGACTTTGCAAGGCGGAGGGCGAGGGTCCGGGGGGGCTCCGTTAAGTGCCAGGTCGGCGCAGACTAAGCGTTCGCGGGGCTTACGTGCGCTTGGAGTCTTGCTCCATTTTCCTTTGGAGCGATGTTTGGTTAGAAAAGAAAGGAGTTAAAATGCTGTACTTTGAATGCTGCGGTCATTCTGTCATTATACAATTGTGCTAGGATACAATACACTGTCCAATTGCGGGTGAAACCGCACTGGACTCAGTAGGATTTGCATCTGCGTTATGGGTAAGATTGTGCTGTGAAACTTCACACGGCTCCACTAATCGCGGAAGTAAGGCTGCAGTAATCCCTAGCCTCGATTTACTTCCTAATAAAACTAAACATGGTTTGCTGTCCATTCTTGAGCTGGTTTTATTAAATTTAGTGGTATTAAGTCTCTAGTAAGGCTACAAATCTTAACACACAAACCTATATTTATTGAAATAAATGGTATCGGACCGCATTTGTATGTACTCAGAAATAAGTCCCACTGATTTATCTTGTAATTAATTATATATTCCAATATAATCCTGGAAGCAACTATCTTCCAGTAACTATGTTTAGGATTTATGCTCTGAACGTTTACTTTTATACAAGGTTTTGGAACGAATTCGTGCTTTCTGAATGACCATAAGAATGAACCAGTGAATTCCTAGTCATTGGGTGCCATTCTTTTTACTAGATCTCGGACTGCACCCTAATGCATAGTTATGTTAGGTCTGTGGCCAAAACAGAAGCAGCGCATTTTCATTACGTACCTGCGCCCTGAAATTACCATTGTAAAAAGTATTCGGTGACATTTAGAAACATGAGAATTTAAGGCGAGTTTGATTCCTCTAGTAAAATATTTTCGCACTGGACATCAGAGGACCGAACGCTTATTTACGTTTCCAAATTCCAGACCTATGGGACCGCATAGAAAAAAGACAAACTTTGCTTGCTAGTGAGCAATACCGATACGTTCATGCCACAATATTTGTGTGAGGTATAAAAGGGAACCGTTATTGTTTTGGAATAAAAAGGAGAGCGAGATTTGGTTAGATATGAGGGTGCCACAAATCTTTTTTTCTTCATACAATTTACAAGTAGCTCTTCTTCTCTGGTACTTACAGTCCCTCCTATTATGTATACTGGAAGTAGTCCCGAGAAAATTAATGCAAGCAAGCAAATGTGTCTTAAAATTACGGTTTTCCACTTATCCTATCTCAGGACCAACAGTCTGAGATTACGCTACGTTCGTCCCTCCCCAGCAGTCGAGGGCATGCTGGGATTTGTGTACTGGTTGAAAGTCCTAAAATGCTCAACCTTAAAAAGCGTGACGCTTAATGGCTCCCGTCACAACTGCACTTGGACAGAAGTCTAAAAATAAGTACAATTATTTTGTATTGCTAGGGAAAAGAGTTTCCCTAAGTAAATTCAGCCCAAAATAAGGAGAGTCCAGAGAGAAAGAGAATTGTTTTACGCACCTGCCAGGACGCGCCAGGCCTTTCTTGCGTCCCGCCCCCTGGCCGAGGGCCACTTCCGTTCGGGTAAGATGTCGGCTGCCATCGCTGCCCTCGCGTCATACGGGGGCTCGGACTCCGAGTCCGATTCGGGGTCGGATGCTGAAGGCAGGCCCAGCCTCTCCGCTCAGGTCGCCGGCGCCGACGCGGTGCTTCACCTGGCGCCGCCGCCCTCTGCGCAACAAGTGCTACTACCCGTGGTGGACTCGGCCCCGGCGGTGTCCGTGAAGGTAAGAGCTGGACGGCGACGGCCGAAAGAGCGTGGCCACTCGGCTTTGAGCCCCGCCGACCCAGGTGGAAAAGGCCAACGGTGTCCTGAGTCTGGTGGGAGACCTGGCATTCCCAGCCCCTGCCGGTTGCTTTGGTTGTGCCCCGATGCTGTGGGTGTGTTCCCTACTCGCGTGCGAGGCTTCCTCCAGAAGGCGTGAGTGTAAATTTTACAGCGGCGCAACAGTATAGGGTCCGTAGGGAAAAGCTTGTTCCGCCTCCTGAGTTTGCCGGTCGTGGTAAAGGCTCATGGGGAAGGGGTGGTGACCAGCCCAAGTATGCACGCTCAGAAATATGTGGATATTTGAAATAACTTCGGTGGCAAACGATTCCAAAAACATTGTAGTTCTAGCTTCAGCAATCACTGCTTTTGAAGGAAGTAAGTTAGCAGAAGGGGGGGGGGGAGTAAACTTACCTTTACAGACCAGCTTCGATGTTC